CTTTCTGGGCTGCAAGCGCACACCTGAAGCCGACTCATGTTCATTTTCTCATCAACCAACACCCCCAAGTCCTTCTCAGCAGGGCTGCTCTGAATCTCTTCTCTGCCCAACCTGTGGCTGTGCCTGGGATTGCTTCGACCCAGGTGTAGGACCTTGCACTTGGCATGGTTAAACTTCATGAGGCTGGCATCAGCCCACCTCACAAGTGTGTCGAGGTCCTCTGGATGGCATTCCTTCCCTCCAGCATATCAACCAAACCACACAGCTTGGTGTCATTGGCAAACTTGCTGAGGGCACACTCAATCCTACTGTCCATGTCACCAACAAAGATGTTAAACAAGACCGGTCCCAACACTGATCCCTGAGGGACACCACTCGTTACTGGTCTCCAGCTGGACATTGAGCCATTGACCACAACTCTTTGTGTGTGGCCATCCAGCCAGTTCTTTATCCACCGAGTGCTCCATCCATCAAATTGATGTTGCTCCTATTTAGGGACAAGGATGTCATGTGGGGCAGTGTCGAACGCTTTGCACAAGTCCAGGTAGATGACATCAACTGCTCTACCCCTGTCCCTCAGTTCTGTAGCCCCATCATAGAAGGCCACCAAATTGGTCAGGCAGGATTTCCCCTTAGTGAAGCCATGCTGGATGTCACCAAGCACCTTGTTGATTTTCATGTGCCTAAGCATGCCTGCCAGGAGAATCTGCTCCAAGATTTTGCCAGGCACAGAGGTGAGACTGACTGGTCTGTAATTCCCCAGGTCATCCATTTTCCCCTTCTTGAAAATGGGGTTATATTTCCCTTTTTCCAGTCATCCGGAACTTCACCTGACTGCCATGATTTCTCAAATATGATGGCCAGCAGCTTCGCAACTTCATTCGCCAGCTCCTTCAGGACCCACGGATGGATCTCATCAGGTCCCATGTGCACGTTCAGATTTTTAAGATGGTCTCAAACCAGTTCCTCTCCTACAGTGGGCCCAAGGTCTTCATTCTCACAGTCCCTGCATCTGCCTTCCAAGACTTGGGTGGTGTGGTCAGAGCCTTTGCCAGTGAAGACTGAGGCAAAGAAGTCATTCAGAACCTCAGCCTTCTCCAAATCCAGAGTAGCCAGTTCTCCTGAGAGCTTCCTGAGGGGGCCTACATTCTCCCTAGTCTGTGTTTTATTTGCTATGTACCTGTAGAATCCCTTCCTGTTATCTTTAATACCTCTAGCTAATTTTAATTCTAACTGAGCCTTAGCTTTCCTAACCTGATCCCTAGCTTCCTGGACAACATCCCTGTACTCTTCTCATGCCACCTGTCCTTGCTTCCACTTATTATAAGCCTCTTTTTTCAATTGAATTTTCCTCAGGAGCTCCTTATCCATCCAAGGAGGTCTCCTGGCCCTCCTGCTGCACTTCCTTCTGGTTGGGATGCAACACTCCTGAGCTTGCAGCAGGTGATCCTTGAATATCAACCAACAGTCTTGGGCCCCTCTGCCCTCTAGGGCTGTATCCCATGGAACCTTCCGAAGCAGGTTCCTGAAGAGGCCAAAGTCTGCTCTTTTGAAGTCCAGGGCAGTGAGCTTGCTGCACGCTCTTCTCACTGTCTGAGGATCTCAAATTTGACCATCTCATGATCGCTGCATCCAAGGCTGCCCTGGAGCGTCACATTTCCAACGAGCCCTTCCCTGTTGGTGAGCACGAGGTCAAGCATGGCACCTCTCCTTGTCGGCTCCTCTATTACTTGCAGAAGGAAGTTGTCTTCTACACAATCGAGGAACCTCCTGGATTGCTTGCGCCGGGCCGTACCGTCCTTCCAACAGATGTCAGGGTGGTTGAAGTCGCCTATGAGAACAAGGGCCTGCGAGCGTGAGGCTTTTCCTATCTGTCTGTGGAGTGCTTCATCCGCAGGTTCTCCTTGATCAGGCGGTCTGTATATATGACAGATCTCTGTTGTTGCAAACAAAATTTAGTTAGCAGAGCATCACTTGTGTGCACAACTAGTAAGCTGTAGGCTAGCAGTCTAGGTTGTACAAATATATATATGAATCATTGACAGAAGAAGAATAAGCTCAGAATTCAAGTATAAGGTTGCAAGGGGAGATTAATAGAATATTTATGATAACAGTAATTTGCCATTATCATTGTTTCTGTCAGATTTCTTCTCTTTAGGAATTAAAAAAAAACCAAAACCCTAAAGGCTGCTTTTGTTGGCAAAATTATTATTGTTCCTTCCTTTTTATTTACTAATTGAAAAATTCACAGATGAGACTTAAAAGTGCCATGTTAGCATTTCCACATTAACCTGTTAGTGCAGAGACGGCTAACAGAAAGGTCAATGCAATTCGTCCGTGTATCCTCCTTGCTACCCTCACTGCAACAATCACTGTATTTAGCCTTGTATTTATTGTTCAAACTTTTACTTTCTCCACTTCCTCTGTAAACATCAGAGGTGAACCTGAGGTTTTGTTTTAAGCATGATTCTGTTCTGAGAACTTCATTTTCTATTCCACTTCTTGTATCAGACCTTAAAGTGTTCATTAGGGCAAAAATGCTCAGAGTGCACAGTGCTTACAGATGTTGCTGCAAATAATCAGTGTGAGTATTGCTTCCTGATATTGCCATAATATGTTGAGCTATCTTTAGCAAAATAAAATCTTTGTTTATTTGGAAGAGCTTCATGCACCATATATTTTCTGTCAGGTCTGCATTTCCTGCTAATGAATATATCTTTGAATAAAATGAACTTGTTTTTGAGATAGTTACCATGAAAACCTAGTGACTGCTTCTATTCCATGCTAACGTGCTATTTTTCTGGCTTCAATTGCTTTGGCAAAGAGTGGAAGCATAGAACTGATGAAGGCAGCAGTCTGAAAATACAAGAAATGTGGAAATTTTATGAGAAGAGCCTTTCTGTGAAATCAGGATAAGTAAATTTTGAGTGGTTGCCAAATTTAAGCAAAGCTAATACTGCCACGGACCAGAGTAGCAAGGATTTTTGTAAATGGCACATGCCTGTGTGCTCTGGTATAGTCAAGGATGTTTTACGAATGTCTTCCTAAAAATCTGGAGGCTTTTTGTCTTCTGGTTTATGAAAATAGCTAACTGAGAGACAGTTTCTCGGTCTCTTGTTTGATGTCTGCTGATGAAAAAGGGCCACACAATATATATGGATTTTCCTCCATGGAGGACCAAAAATTCACTCAGTCTTTGTATGTTCACATTTTGTTGTACACACAGTGTAAATTAAATATCGTAGCTGTAACTTTTGTTTCCATAGTCTTGCACACCAACACTGTGGCTGTCACTTATCTCATGAATGGTTAAAACAAATTCTGTGGATGCTACTTGTTCCTCCCTTTGCAGCTGCTGTTTCTGTCACAAGACTCTTTTTCACTGCTTGTGTAGAAATGTTGCATTTCCCAGGCTTATTCACAGCTCTAAAGCCATCATGCTCCATTGTGAAGCTCAGATGCAATTAACATCATCCACTCAGCAACATCCTTTGCTTGTGCTCTTTTCTTTCTTGAACTCTTCATCACTAAATGGATGTGTTACTGTATAAATCTATGACATCTTGCACATTTTATAATTGGTCCTCTTAAGAATATAGTGACACTGTAAATGTTCTGTCTCATAGATCACTGATTTTCTAATGAAGGAATGGAATAATTCCTGTATGAGGAACAGTTTGCTGAATCCTCATCTGGGCTCTTTGGTCTCGAAGAAGGAACTGATAGAGGTTATGCATGTATAAAGCTGTGAATGGCAAGATCTGCATAGGGAACTTCTTCATTATGTGCAAGAATTAGTGGGTGCCAAAGCTGCTCAGCCCATGGTAGGTTCAAAACAAATGCAAAATATAATCCATCAAATATGTTACTTAGTTGTGAAACTGCTGATCACAGGACATTGTGGATGCTAAAGATTTGCATTTGTTCCAAAAATGATTAGATTAATTCATAGAAGAAAAATATATCAATGACTTGTTAAATACAAAGATTCACTCCTGCTGTAGGAAGTCTTTGAGATAATTCCTGGCATCAGTGCTGAAGTTTGGACTGCTCAGATCAAACCTGGACATCTGGCAGGTCTGTTCTTACTCATCTGTGGTGCTGTAGTCTGACACTCGGGACTTCATTGTGCAAATGCTGGGGAGAAATTTGTCCTGAAATATCTGTGCAGCTGAGGAAATGGAAGGTATTGCTACTATGAGAAACAGTCCCAATGACTCACTGAAGCTGAAGGGGGAGCAATGGGGGAACCAATAAATATGGTATCACAAAACGGTTGAGATTGGAGCAGTTGAGATGACCCCTGGAGGTCATCTGTTCCATCCCCCTGCTCAAGCAGGGGGTACCTAGAGCTTTTTGCCCAAGGCCATGACCAGACTTCTATATATCTTCAAGGAGGGAGATTCTACCACCTCTCTGAGCAACCTGTGACAGTGGTCAGTTACCGTTGCAGTAAAAAAGTGATCCCTGATGTTCAAAAAACATCATTTGTTTCAGTTTGTGCCTGCTGCCTCTGGTCCTGTCACTGGACACAACTGAAAAGTGTCCAGAACAGTATCAAAAATGTCAGCAGTTCAGCAGGTTGAGTCCCTGGCTGTTACTGAATACATGGGTGGTCAACACAGAAAACTCACACAATTGGGCTTTTTAGCTAGATTCGTAAGCATGAACTGTGGTACTGCCAGCTGCAGTGCAGTGACACTCCAGAAGGAAAGACTGTCCTTGTCTGCTTATCACACAGACTTCAAGTGCGGCTCTGGACATAGAGAAAAGGTTTTAGTACTAGAGTTCCTGGATGAGCTCTTTAATCTCTGTTACATGCCAAAACCAAACTCGACACAGAAATGTGTTTGGACAGATGGAGGCAAAGACTGTCACGTTATACAGTGTCTTACTGTTGATATTCTGAGTATTATCCTTTGACCTGCCTACAAACAGCTCTCTATCTTTCCTGTTCTTAAATTCCCCTGCCTAAAGTTCAGTTTTGTGACAGCTCTGAAACCACAAAGTGATTTTAATTCCCTTTCTCCAGCTCTTGCTCAGTGTCGCAAGCATCCAATACGTCTGAAATCTTTCTTTAGAGAAGTAATTTCTCTGCTTCCTTAGCTCTACTGTGTGCTACCACAGATAACAGTTCAGCTGATAAATAAGAGTTTGCATCACCCATTGACATGTGTTAACTCCTGACTTCTGAGGATGGCCATGTTCTTCCAGATGCTGCAAAACCAGATCTACAAGTGTGGAATCAGTAGGCTGCAAGAATTGTGGAGTATATCCTGACCCCAAGGTATGTAAAGAAGGGCTTACTTGCGTTAGAGGACTAACTCCTCCTGGGCAGGTATTTTCAGGGTTACTGGAACAGTGTAGCTTGGAATAGTGTCTACTGAATATGGTTGAACTTGTACTTGTAGATGTTCATCAGATTAACTACTTCAAGGACTACTAAGGGAGGAGGAGAAAGATGAAGGTAGAATGCAGGAAAAGGGCTTGCAAATGGTCAAGGTTAGTGGAAACGCACCAGTGAGTGCTTGTGTGATTACATTACAAGGAGACGCATAGTATCTGCCAAGCCTTAGACTTAGTAGCCTTTACAACCAATTCCTTGGTAAAAATCTCATGGGATTTGATATAGCAAATTGGATACAGTTCTTGTTGATGGCTCTAATGCATCTGAAGAGCCACTGGCTGGTAGGGTCTGTCCAGCCTTATGTTATGCATATTTGGGAAGTCAACACTCAAAAATTTCTCAATCTTCCCCCACAAACATGCTTATAGCAGACATATATGGGTTTCCCTACTCTCCTGTGTGAGTCAGTAATGGCAAAGTTCCAGAGGGAAATACTAACCCTTATCCCCAGTGGTATAGCCTCCTGAGAGATGGTTTGTTAGTGCTGAATAGCAGATGTTAGATTCTTTGATACCCAGAAAGCTGTGGTCACATCATTGTCCATCCTGTGTGTATATATTAGTCATTCCCACCAGAAATAGAATGGTGATAGCCCAGGTGAGCTGGCCTGCCACATACCATGTACCTGAATGGGCAGGTTCTTAATCTGGAGTAAAACCTAGAATATGTGGAGCAATTCCTGTGATCCCATCTGCAGGAAAAAAACAGGCCCACAAACTGGGGAGAGAAGGTGTCAGAGACTCTGGAAGGAGTGCAAGGAGAAAATGCAGTGGATGGAGAGGTACCAAGACCAGTGTGTGTGGATGTCATTGCAGAATCCTACACAAAGGTAGGAGCTATGCCTTAGGTATTTGTTTCTGTGATATGACCAAACAAATGGTCCACACAGTGCATGTGTTTTACTAAGGGAGTGTACAAATGAGGAGGTACCTAAGATCATAGGATGAATACTGAGCACTGGGTGTGCAGTATGGAGGTAGATGTGGCCTGCGTTGTGCTGTTTGGGCTGCAAGAAACTGCTCCCCAGGGGGGATGTTTGTGGCCCCGTAGATGTAACCTAAGGGAACTATAATGCAGTTTCTGGTACCTAACCACATACAGGTTAAATATGTATGTCTAATGAGATAAAGACATTATTAAAAGCCACATGTAAAGAAAGTCTGGTTTAGACCACATTTCTACAACGTGTTGCCTTTTACCACTGTTCAGCACAGCTTCCTTCCAAACAAAAGAAGCTTCTACATAATATATGTACATCATTATATATCCACCCAGGCATGTGTTACTAGCCTGGGAGGCTGACTCACCTGTAGTCCTCATCATTCTACTTCTGATGGGAACACATATATATGTGCATAGGATGAAGTGTGAACAGATACACTGATAGATAAAATATGTAAAGACAAGGAGACTGCAGTAACAAGAAACACTGATAAACTTTTGTTCTGCAAGGAGTCTTTTTATCTCCAGTAATAAGCTTACGTTTCTGTGCTATGGATGTATTTTATGCCTTCTATGCAAAAACTACGTTAACAAACTGGGTCTATTTAACAGCTATTAGGTGGTGATTAATCTCTTTTGGGGAACAATTAGAGCTCCTCCTAGTGCCTTTGGAGTAACACTGTAGAGGACCTGTACCAACTGCACTCAAAATATCTTGCAATTTTCTCAGAAATAAAAAGTAATTAACAGCTTGCCTCAGAGTTCTCATTATCGAAGTTCAGAACTGTTTCAGGGCTAGGATTTTAATTGGAAAATGATTGCAAAGCATTCCCTTAAGAACTATTCTTTTTATTTTTTTTTTTCTCTCTCTCTTACATAAACAGATTTTAGAGTACTTGTTTGTGATTCCACTGCTGGGGAAAACAGTTACATCTTTTCTTCATCAGAGTCAGCAAAGGTGACTAGGAGAGCTACAAAAGCCTGTGCTTTTTAAATTACCCATCAGCATGTGTAATTATGTTTATCTTGTATTTTTCCAAAGTGTATATTATAAAGGATACTAGCCAATTATTTGTAGTTAGAGCCTAAGCTTTGCATGCCATTAGATCAAAATGAGAGGGCATTCTTCGAATCTACTTTATTTTATATCAATTATTCTTCCTAGACTCTGAATTGCTTTGTAAAACAAAATTTTTCTATAGTGATTTACCGATGCTAAGTGGTACTTTTGTAATTTCATACCATTAATATTTACCATAATCTTTATAAATAGCAGTATATTAAAAATTTAAGTGACATAGTTGAAGCATAATGGCAAGTTCAGTTTTGGAAGTTCTACTTATTCCTTGTGAAACGAGGGGACAGGTCATTAGTGACTTTGCTCATGTTAAAAGGCAGTAATTGCTCTTGGTTTGAGGCAAAAATCACATTTTGGTGAAGTAACATTGTGGGCTTAAAACTGGTGAAAATCTTGCTGTTTGTCAGCTGACCTATTCTTGAGCTTGATCAAAAAAACCTGGCATTGCACTGGGTGCTTTGGCTGATAGTGTGCTAGAACTATCCAGCTTTGGGAAACTGGGCTTTTTCAGCAATTGAAAATAGCTGAACAAAGGAAAGACTTGGAAAAGATTTAGTTTCTTGGAAGTGTTGACTATGGTTTTATCTCCTTGTAGGTACAAATTCAAGATATCAAGGTAATGAAAAGTATCACTCAAACATTTTCACTGTGAATTCATCATCTTGATCCAAACTTTTCTACTTTCCTGTATTCTTGTGAGAGCAGTTTGAAAAAGCATGCAATCATTTAATCCCTGAGCTGACAGAGGATTCAGGGCTCTTAAGAAGCTAGTAGACTCATTAGGAGAGGAGCAGATCACACTAATTAGTGGGTACCAGCTGTGAAGAGTTACAGAACCTGGTGCTGAAGGTGTGCACTGGATGAAGATTGATTTTCATCATCTTTAATCTTGTTATAAAATTGCTGTCACAGACCACTTGGATAGCTTGTGTATTGCAAGGACTGTGCTTGTGAAACTAAAGCAGACAGCCTGTTTTCGGAGCCTGTTATCTTTCTGCTGAAGTAGTACTGCATCTACCTAATAGTTCTGTATTTTCTGACATTTGCTTAAAAAAGAAAAAGCAAAACTGAAACAAAAATCCTTCTGAGCTGTTGCAAATTCACTTGTTGCAAGAATTGGCATGAATTATACTGCAGAATAGGTGGAACCCCACTGAATCCAGACAGCTGGGGAGTCTTACCCAGACATGCTTTCAAGTTGCATGTGGGGTGTTTTGGTGTTGGGAGGGTTAAAATAACACTAATTCTGCAGCCTGTCTGTACTGGGCATTGCAGGATATATCCTTAGCTTCCTCCCTACTTTCCCATTGATATAAAGAAGCCCTCAGTTTGTTAAAGAAGCTCTTTAGTCTCATTCAATCAGAAGTGGACAGGTCAAGTCCTGGGACACATCTATGCTATTTGTACCAACACAAAACTAAGAAAATTCCAGGTGATAACTTTTAATCTGTGGTTCTTGAAGTCAATTTGTCTTTTGATAGTTGTGAAATTACTTATCAGGCAAGCCTTGTTTGTCCTGTGAGGGTTAAATGGCAGATTTTAATGTGATGCAGAGCACAGAAAGTATATTGCCTTAGCAATGAGCTGATGAAAGCATCCTCATCATTACTAATTGCACTATTTGCATAGAAGATAGGATTCAGTTTGGGTGAGTGAACTGAGATATTTCTGAACTGACTTGGACATCATTTTTGTAAGATGTCATTTGGCTCACAATAGTCTTATCTGAGTCAACAATCACTGTTAGAATTGGAACCATATATCTCAGATATTGACTTTCTGTGTGTGTTGAATCTGAAGCTCTCACCATTTTAAGTATTTTTATAGCCTTTCTGTTTGAATTGTGATTGAATGCTGACCATTGTAAATACATCCACTTCCAAGTAGATATAATTAGAAGATTCCTAAATTTGGGTATGTGCTTCACTTGCTCTTATTTGCATTTGTCCAGGACTTTTTCTGTCTTTTTGGAAGTTCAGACTTTCTGACTACTGCCACTTGAAATGTTTCTGGTGAATCTCTTCTCAGATATGACTTTTGATTGAGTGAATGGAAATAAATTAAAGGATCAACCTTTTGTTACGAAAGATTCCAGTATTTACAGGCACATTATGTGTGTCATCTGTAGAGTGATGGGTTAAGTATTAAAAGGAAAGCTCTACTTTTCCCTTTGAGGTGTTTTGCTACTAATTTACAGTCTGGTTCAGGGATCTTCAAAGTACAGCTACTGGTGTATTTTTGGTTATATGCCGTACAAGATCTCAGATAGTGAAGCCTGTACTCTTGCACAGGGCTTGTTGGACAGGAAACAGCAAGGTGTTCACAATGCATTAACACAACATATTCTGAAATACAGTATCTTTTTCAGGTAATTTTTTTTGATTGCACAATTTAACTAATAGTGTCTACATAGCATCGAAGAGACTATTCTTGCCAGGTCAAATTCACATCATTAATAGTCACGTTGATTTTTCGGTTGTTGTTAGGTTCAGGTGTTATCTATAGACTGTAAATCTGCTAAATGAATCATACTTCTAGAGCTCAGAATATGGCAGTTGTTATTCCTCAGACTTAGATTAATCACACACAATTACTTTTGCTGATGCACAAGTTATTTTGAACAATCTAATCAAATATTCAGTATTCATATTGTCACCTACTTATTGTAGACAGAAAACTTCATTTTTAGCATTCTGATCTACTATTACAAAATTTTTTTACTGGACATACAAGAGGAAATAATAAACAAAAACTATAACTGAGACCACTGAAATTTAGGTTTTAGTTCTTTCCTTCTTCTCTTCCTTCTGTTTCCTTTTCTACGCAGACGGTTTTGAGCATATGTTTTGATAGGGCTTGTACAGTTCACTTCAAAACCCTGTGATTTACAGCCATGCAAGCATCTCTCCTGTGGTCTTTTCTTCCATTGTAACAGGCAGCATACAGCTCTTATTCTCTTGGTGAATTGCATCTGTTCTTTAGTACAGAGCACTGGTAGAAAAATGGCTGGAGTAGTTATGAAGGTAAGAAAAAAAACAAAACGGGTGAGTTATCCTACCATGACCTGCATTTCATATTCCCTATTCTTTCAGCTGTTGAGTTGCTGTGCTGCTTTCAGTGTTCCTAAACTATTGCACTGAGAGGCACAAATGGACAAAAATAAGGTGTGACCTTAGACCTATCTCCATTAATGTGTAGCATAGACCTTAGACCTAAATATGTAGCATAGACCTGGCTTTAGACCTAGCTCCGTTAGTGTGTACCACAGCTTTTTCATCTCTTTTCTTTGCTATTTCTAATGTCTTATTTCTTAATAACATCCTTTGGAGGTTTAAAATTAAAGCAATCTAAAACACCTGTCAGTGGCAGAGGAAAATCTATTAAATAACAGCAAGTGAAAATCTAAGAACTGTCTTATGCTAAATGTTGCCACATCAGTTGATGCACCAAAATTGTGAAACCTGACTTTGAATCATCTTGCAGCCTTGATTAGAATTTTTTTTTTTTTTCCCTATGTGCTAATCTGTTCTGGAGTGAGAGGGAAAAGATTTATGCTGCACACAATTCCTGTGCATTTAAACTAGCTGAGGCTATGACTGTGCATTAAAAAGTAGGCAATGAAAGATTCTGTTTCTCGTGTTTCTCTAGTCTGGCATTTTAACTTCTGAGAAGCTGATCGTTCCTCACGAGCAAGCTAGCTTTTTAAAAACAGCTTGCTTTTCTACACGGCCATTTCTGCAGCGTTAAACTCCTAGTTCACGTCTGTTACTTTCAAAAGCTATGTGATTTAAAATAAAGCCCTAAGGCTTTCTCAAAGCCAGTTCCTAACATCTGAAAAATAGTACTGTGTAAATATAAAAGGGCTGAGTTGACAGGATGTTAGTACCAAGAAACCTTGGGGAAGATGAAGCACTTACTGTGTTGGGCTCATAGCAAACAAAATATACTTGGAAAGCACATGGGGCTTCATATTACTGAGAACCAGACCATTTGTTACACTAAGTATCACTCTGTCAGGGCTTGGGTCCACCTCTTGGTTTGTGTACTATGAAATTTTCCTAATGTTCTGTTCAGAGAAGTCAGCTGTAGAATTAACCTTTCCTTCTGACACTGAATTTAAAGGAAAAAAAAAAATCCCCATACTTCTTTAGGAGATATCATGTTTAATCTCCACAGTTCCAAGTAGCTCTGATAGTGACTAAGCACACTTTCTTTCAGGACTGGTTATTAACATTCACCCCAAAGCTGGGTTTGCAGATGTGACCACCATAGCGACAACAGAAAACAACTTCAGTAACAATAAATAACATAGGTAATTTGGGTGGGCTTCCTGGGCAGTTTGAAATAAATAATGAGATTGGATTAAGGATCTGGATTCTGTTTCTTAACATTTTATTTGAGAGATTAACTTTCCTTTGTCCTTATCTTTATTGCCTTTTATGTTGTGTGTTTTATGACATTTATAAAAGTTAGTGTTTGAGAAACATTACCAGAGAGTAAAATAGAGATTCAGTTCAATATAAAATTTATTTATAATATATTGCTATGTGTATAAACATCTCTCTGTGACTCTAAATTCAGTTAAAAAGCCAGGCAAGTCTCTGGGCACAAAGGAGCATCATCAGAGCATCTTATAAACTTGCAAATATGGTTGCATTAGGCTAAGCTTATTACTGCTGAGGCAAATGAGCACCAGGCTTGGAATACTAAAAGTAGCTTCTAGTCATAGCCTGTGGTTCAGTCAGGGAGAAATGTAGCTGGGAGAGGGCTATGATCAGATGGAAAGGAAAAGGCAAAGTAGTTTTTATAGTGGTACAGCCAGCCTAGTTATTTGGGTTGACAGGCCTGGGACCTATGGCTACCAAGGCTGAAAAAGGAGAAACAACCACTCAAAGAATAAGAGGAAGAATTTGAAATTAGCGAAAAATAAAGCCAAACCAAACACTGCTGGATGATGAAAGGACTCATGGAAGAACAGTTGCATGGCATAGGACTAAGAATGTAAGGTTCACCTTGTGTTTAAATTAAGCCTTTGCTGAAAGCCTAAAAAGAGTAGACTTGGTTGAAAGATCACATCAGCCACTTGCTTGTGCAAAAGAGGTCAAAGAGAAACTGATGCAGCAAATTGAAGAGAGGAGGGGGCAATGGCAGATAGTATATTTTGGGTGATGTTGCTACACTATATTTCACAGTGGGGTTAGCATACATTTCATCACTGATTTCTTTTGAGCAGAGCAGGCAACTCTGGATGTCAGTTTAGTCTGCTTTTCTTTTACAGATTAACTTGCCTTATGTAATAATTTCAAAAACTGTTAAGTTTAAGAAAGCCACAAGCATCTATTTGTGGATTTCCTTTCTGCCCTGACACAGTATTTTCTTGAGTACTAAAAACACCAAAAGCAGTGTTATGCAATCCAAGCCTGAATACAAGTGCTGTTATCATATTGTATAAATTACTGGACACTGGTCTGTAAGCAAGGTTAGTGTGGTAAGCATTGTGGCAGTGTTGGGATTATACCTGGAAAGACCTAAGACTACAGGAGGAGCCAAGTGCACAGGGGAAAGCTGTAACTCTATTTTATTAATTTATGTATTTACTTTGTTCTTTTTATTTGAGCCAATTAAGAGAAAATTGAAATTTGTACCAATTTTCTGACTGTGCCACTATGCAGCATGCTTTATCCTGTTTCAAAGTATCACATTGAGTCTCAAAGACCCATGTTTTAGAGCCATCCCCAGCCTTCAGTACCCTTCACAAGTCAAATACATAATTATCTCCCTAATCCTGCTTTTTGCTGAGCTTGTGCCCCTCTGTGATTTTCTTCACAGAGTCCTTGAAGTTGTCTGTAAGGAGGTTGTTCCTCTTTCACCAGTTATGAACATCTTGGTCCTTCAAGTTCTGCACCAGCAAAGGCTTTGCCTGTTTATTGGATGCTGTGTGGGAATCAGTTGAAGCCTGATGGAAATATCATGGACATCTCACTGGGTTTCCAAGAATGCAAGAAATGGCCTGTGTAGTCAAACTAGTCTCTGATGGTGACAATTGGAAATGCTGGGTAGGCAGAGCACACAAATTTAGCTGTTTTCTGCCATCCATGCCTCTTGTGCTCCTCTAATAGCCACATTCATTGTTTCAGAGATGTTGGAGGGGAAAGTCTGGTCTGTTCCTTCAGTATCTGTTTATGGACCTGTTGTCCACAAACTGGTACGATACCTGCTCAAACCTTTTGCCTCCATGGCTTCCTATGGCAACAGATTCCACAAGTTCACTACAACCCATGGAAAAAAAAAAAAAAAAAAAAGCAGTTTACATGGTCTAAACTGATCCCCTGCTATTTTCAGTGGGTGATCTATAGTTCTGGTATTTGAAGGATTTAGTGGGTAAGTTGTGCAGTTGTTTCCTCGCCTTCATGATTTTGTAAGCTCTGCTTATATGCCCCCTCAGCATTTTTTAGTTCTCCTTGCAAAGCAGCTGATCTCTCCCTTTCATCATTCTAATTGCCCTTCTGTGTTCCTTCCTTCTCTCTGCTATTTCCTTCCTGAGATGTGGAGAGTGGGACTGCAAATGGTGCTTGAGATGAGAGCTCAGCAAGGATTTGTACGGAGGCAGAATGGTGCCCTGTGTCTTGCTTTACTGCCCTTCTGGTTACAGTAGACAAACTGCATCATCGGCTGTTTGTTGCTGAGATGTGCAAACCCTTGTCCCAGCCATTCTCCTTTTGCATCTTCCTGATCTTGAGGCCATGTTTTTATGGTGCTCCCCAGAACTGCAATAAGCACAAGCTACTGAAATACCCTGGAGGGATCATTCTGACTCTGCATGTGAATTTTTACTCCTTTTGGAAAGCTGCAAATAGGGTTTACTCCTGGCAGCTGGAGGTTGACGTCCCTTCCTCATGGGATGCTAACTGACCAGGATAATCCCCCATGGGTTATGTTAGCATAGCCACATGGGTGCAGGGAATACTCCCCAGAATCCTGTTTGTGGTGGCTCTTGCCAGGTGGCTGCTCACACTGCTGGCTAGGGAGGGAAAATATCTCATGTCTGGCAATGAAGACTTGCCTCCCACCATTTATTTTGATTTCCACATGTTCTTTCATGAAATGTTTAATTTCTTTGCATCACGGGCTATTTTCCACATTAGCGATTCACTTTAATACCAATTTCTTTTGAAACTGTCAGATTTTGAGAAATAAGGCTGAAATAGTTTACGTGACCAGAAACTGAAACCTAAGATTCTCAGTCATTTCTGCAAGATTTTTATTAACATTTATCCACAAATAGCTATGGATATTTTATTTAGAAAAGCATCTTATTCCCAGAGTTGTATTACTGCAAAGCTAGAATATACTTCCTAGAGAGGCTGAGGAGGAGTCCCTGAGGCTCTTTGTCCCAAGTTCCATGAAAGAACATGGGACATGTTCTTTCTCTCCCCTCCCTGACATGGTCCAGTTTTGTTCATGTCAAAGGCATGGAGGCAGATGTTGGAAATTTTCCAACTTGAGAATCAGGCTGAGGTATCAGCTGTGGGCAGGCTTGTGCTGCTTTTTAGCAAGTGGTTATTTGAAAAGTTACTCATTTCATTGTGGGCATTGCTGTGGTGAAATTTCAACCTAAGTAAATCACAGCAAAAGAGGATAAGAATGAATCTTAAAATGGAGTGTTTTGGTTCCAATTTGTTTTGAGGATGGACACTCAGAAGCCACGGGCCCCATGCAGTACCTCTGTGACTCAAAAACATTACTCGTCTTTTTCATGTCCTTTCAGTTCTGAGTTTCTCAAGTGATACCGTGGCTCTTCTCATTTTGACAGGCCTCTATGTCTGCAAAGTTAAAAGCGTGCTCTTTCCAGTTGCTAGCTGCTAGTAAGTTGTAGCTGATGAAAAGAAGATATGGAAGAAAAATATTACACTGAAAATGGGAGAAGAAAGATGGCTTTTCTTTTGTACCCAATATTTCTCTTCATGTAGGTCACTATTCACAAAATGTGGACATGGTACTTGAGAGACTGTTTTGCTTCCTAACATATTTTTGTAGCTACATGGTTTGAGCAGTTTTTGTGTCTGTCAGTAGAAGGTGGAAACATCCACGAAGGCACAAGGAAGCATCTGGATGCATGGCAGGTGTTGTGTCTATGCCTGAGGCTGACAAGGACCAATTGTCACTAGTACCTGCCTAGAAGAAGCTGAGCAAGGTCAGAAGATGTGAACTGCAAGTTCAGCAAAGTGTTAACTCTGAATAGCTGGGAAGAATGCAAACCAGACAGAGGATGTTTCTCTGTGAAATCACCTTTTTTGAGATCTTAGATAAACCACTATTGGAAGCAGTGAGTTAGAAATTACCTGCTATAAAAGAGACTGAACAGTAGGTCATTCTATAAGAGTCCTATGATTTGAAATAGATTTGTCAGATTGCCTGCAAGAAACAGATCTCTGCCATCAGAACACAATGGAAAGTCTCCATTGGGAGTTAGGAAGAGGGTTTATGTACTGTGAAGGCGCTTTTGTTTGTATTCTGTGGGTAGAGTTCTCTGGTGTCTGAACACTTGTTACCAAGGAGTCTTTGCTGAAGTACTGACTGGACAGAAGGGGATAATCCTAGAGACTTCAGTGTAAATGTAACGCTTTGTATGTTCAAATACTAAATGTTTTAAATCATTTATTAGGGAAGGTAGAGGAAGAGTAGTGAAGATGGGAAGACTGGTATCAGCAATAAATTTCAGTTCTAAGGGATGCTGCTGCCTTTTCTTTAAGATGCCCCCATAACTTTAAAACAGGGTTTTGATGTCCAGCAGTGGAGATGCACTGGGCTTCACCAGTGTCTCTTCTGCGTCACACAGAATTCTGATCAGCATTTGGGGAGCTATAAGCTGCTAATTTCTATTTCCATTCTCCCTCTTTCAGTCCTCATGATAATTTTAGAAACTGCACAGGAATGCTCCATTTCACACAAGTGCTCAGAGTCCCTTGTTCCCAGCCCATCAGCTGTACAGAATGAGGTGAAGGAAAACCATACTGTGGGGAAGAGATCTTCTTTAAAACAAGGGTTTATAGGGACAAGAGGTTTATAGGGGCAAGGGTTTATAGGGACAAGGGTTTATAGGGGCAAAGGTTTATAGGTAGAGTGTATCCATTTTTAACCTCAAAGCCAATCTGTCAGTTGTGATGATAGAGGTTGAAGGTTTCAAATCTTAGTGTTGATCACTGATAGTGAAAACATTACCTCTGACCTCAGTTGATTATTTTTTACTCTTTTCATTCAAAATATGTGTTTTAAATGGTGAACCGAAGCACACAGAAGGAAGATTTAAGGTCTGGTGCTTCTTAT